CAAACTTTTCGATTTTAACCCCCCCCCCCAAGATTTCGATTTTCAACCCCCCCCCTCAAACTTTCGATTTGCACCCCCCTCAACCTTTCAATTTATTTTTCCAAACCATTTTGGCGCCCCAACATATGTCCCCCCGCCCCCCCCTCCACCTCCCCCCGCCTCCCCTTCCCCCCCCCCCGCCTCCCCCCTCCCCCCCGCCTCCCCTCCCGCCCCCCCCCTCCTCGCTACGCTACTGCAGTGTCACTTATGGTCACAAAAAACAGACCCCACATTCAAAAATATGTTTTTTATCTTTTAAAAACACCGAAAACACCGATTTCGGACTATCCCTTCATATACTGACGTCACATGTGACCTACTCAACTCTACTTCACCTGCCCAGTGTCCCGCCAAGTCTCAGACAACTTGTTTTTATCGTTTAAAAAACGATTCCAGCCGAGCATGTCTCTGACCACACTATCCTTTCATATGCTTAGGACAAAGAAACAGATGAACTCTACTTCACCTGCCCTGTATCCTGCCAAGTTCAGATAGGCAACTTTATCATTCACATCTAAAAAAAAAAATATTGAAAAAAAAATATCATTGACATATTGGTCTAGAACCTGTGCCACCCACATGAGAGCGGGCTACGCTACCAACTTAGCTATTTACTCGTGACGTCACAAATGAATTTTTATACTATACTTTTGAGTCTCCGCGCATAGATCTAGTAGTAGTAACTTTCAAATTAAATTTAATCTTAAATTAGCCAAACAAAGATTTATATAAAATAATTAAGGCCTGAAATAGATTCTAGATGTATTAAGGCCTGAAATAGATTCTAGATGTAGAATTTACATTAAGTCTAGATCTAGAATTTACACTGAGTCTAGTAGTGACCTAGAATCTAGATCTAGGCTAGATCTAGGCTAGATTCATAACTTCCATTCGACAGCTGATCTTTAGATCTAGAGAAATTTATCGTAAAACTAAATGAAAAAGACAGTTGAAAATTGATATAAGTGTTGGAACGTAATAAATACAGCAAACGGACGTATTGTTTAAGTTATAGCCGGCAGAAAATTAGCTTTGTAACGCGTTAAACTTTTGAATGGGCCACAAAGTCTATGATGAGTCCGCCATTTTTATTGAACCAAAAAGTAAACACATCAAGGGACGTCACTATCCCCACAAAGTTTATTCAAAGTATTAACATTTTTAAAAAAATACGGTTAATTTAACTATGAATAAATCAATAAATTAATTAACGTCTTTAAATAAATTTGTGATCAACAGTCTGTCTGCATTAAAAAATTATTCTCTACCTGCATACTATTTTACAGCTTTCCAGATAGAGTCGAACATATCACAATAGTCGATCAGGCAAACAAATAAATATTCAAACATGTAAACAAAGTTGAGTTTTAGTAGTATACTAGAATACCCGTCATCCGTTGGATAACTGTGGGTTTCGGGGGTCATCCATCAAAAAACATCACGTCTGTCACTCAGAGGCATAGCGAGCCTTCCCGGCGCCCGGGGACAAACTTTTCGATTTTAACCCCCCCCCCCAAGATTTCGATTTTCAACCCCCCCCCCCTCAAACTTTTGATGTGCACCCCCCCCCCCCACTCAAACTTTCGATTTGAACCCCCCTCAACCTTTCAATTTATTTTTCCAAACCATTTTGGCGCCCCAACATATGTCCCCCCGCCCCCCCCCCTCCCCCCTCCCCCCGCCTCCCCTTCCCCCCCCCCCCCCGCCTCCCCTCCCGCCCCCCCCCCCCCTCCTCGCTACGCTACAAAAAACAGACCCCACATTCAAAAATATGTTTCTTATCTTTTAAAAACACCGAAAACACCGATTTCGGACTATCCCTTCATATACTGACGTCACATGTGACCTACTCAACTCTACTTCACCTGCCCAGTGTCCCGCCAAGTCTCAGACAACATGTTTCTATCGTTTAAAAAACGATTCCAGCCGAGCATGTCTCTGACCACACTATCCTTTCATATGCTTAGGACAAAGAAACAGATGAAACCTACTTCACCTGCCCTGTGCCCCGCGAGTTCCTGATAGTCAACCTTATCATTCACATATAGGGCTTAAGAAAAAATAATTGAAAACGTAAAAAAAAAGTTCTATTAATTTTTATGACACTGACTTTAAAATTTAGCCTTCACTCTCCAAAGCAAATTTTAAAATGCTTTTCTGGCATATCTAGCCCTGGCCACCTATACCATGTTTAAATAATGTGAACACCCGCCATCTTGCTCGTGGTAAACATGGCCTAAAAATGGTCCGAAGTCATTCGTCCGGTCCGGACGCCATATTGTTGTTAGCAGCCGACCACGCCTCCAAGTTAGTTAGTAATCCTACTATATCTAGATATAGAACCTAGATTTAAAAAATCCCATTTATTCTCGAATTAGATGATCATTGAAGCTAAACAAAGATTTATGTAAAATAATTAAGGCCTGAAATAGATTCTAGATGTAGAATTTACATTAAGTCTAGATCTAGATATACATATTACATTGAGTCTAGTGACCTAGATCTAGGCTAGATCTAGTTCTAGTCTAGAATCTAGGCTAGATTCATAAACAGCTGATCTTTAGATCTAGAGAAATTTATTGTAAAACTAATGAAAAAAGGCAGTTTAAAATTGATATAAGTGTTGGAACGTAATAAATACAGCAAACGGACGTATTGTTTAAGTTATAGCCGGCAGAAAATTAGCTTTGTAACGCGTTAAACTTTTGAATGGGCCACAAAGTCTATGATGAAGTCTGCCATTTTTATTGTACTAAAAAAGTAAACACATCAAGGGACGTCACTATTCCCACAAAGTTTAGTCAATGTTTTAACATTTTCTTGGACAGATTGTAGATCTAGAGAAATTTATCGTAAAACTAAATGAAAAAAGACAGTTTAAAATTGATATAAGTGTTGGAACGTAATAAATACAGCAAACGGACGTATTGTTAAAGTTATGACCGACAGAAAATTAGATTTAGAACGCGTTAAACTTTTGAATGGGAACACAATTTTCTTCAATAGACGCCGCCATTTTATTGTACTAAAGAGTAAACAAAAACCTGTGACGTCACTATTCCCACAAAGTTTAGTCAAGGTTTTAACATTTAAAAAAAAATGGGTTATTCTGCGTAGGAATAAATCAATAAATTAATTAACGTCTTTAAATAAATTTGTGATTAACAGTCTGTCTGCATTAAAAAATTATTCTCTACCTACATACTATTTTACAGCTCTCCAGATAGAGCCGAACATATCAGGATACTTGATCAGGCAAACAAACAAACAAACAAAAAAACAAATAAATATTCAAACATGTAAACAAACTTGACTTTTAGTAGTATATAGATAGATTTTATAGAATATGTGGTTTCTCATATGAACGCTTAGTGTGTGGCCCATGAGTTGCTGAAGTATCATGCCGACTGTTTTACTGTAAGGCTGTAATTGTTGTTATGGTTTAAGATGTCTACATATAATTTCCGTCCCCTTAGGATCTCGGCCACTAAAGGCCGACTGATTTACCGTAAGACTGTAATTCTTGTCATTCCTCTCCCCTCAGGATCTCGGCCACTTAAAGGCCAACTGCTGTACTGTAAGACTGTAGTTCTTGTCATCCGACTGCTGTACTGTAAGACTGTAGTTCTTGTCATCCGACTGCTGTAGTGTAAGACTGTATTTCTTGTCATTTCTCCGCCCCCCCTCAGGATCTCGGCCACCTCCAGGTTGAGCTGATGCTGTACTGTAAGACTGTAATTCTTGTCATTTCTGTCCACTCAGGATCTCGGCCGATAGCTGTACCGTAAGACTGTATTTCTTGTCATTTCTCCCCCCCCCCCCTCAGGATCTCGGCCACCTCCAGGTTGAGCTGATGCTGTACTGTAAGACTATAATTCTTGTCATTTCTGCCCTCCCCCAGGACTAAACTAAAGGCCAACTGCTGTACTGTAAGACTGTAATTCTTGTCATTTCTGCCCCCCCCCAGGACTAAACTAAAGGCCAACTGCTGTACTGTAAGACTGTAATTCTTGTCATTTCTGCCCCCCCCCCCCCCCCAGGACTTAACTAAAGGCCAACTGCTGTACTGTAAGACTGTAATTCTTGTCATTTCTGCCCCCCCCCCCCAGGACTTAACTAAAGGCCAACTGCTGTACTGTAAGACTGTATTTCTTGTCATTTCTGTCCCCCCAGGACTTAACTAAAGGGCGACTGCTGTACTGTAAGACTGTAATTCTTGTCATTTGTCCCCCCCCCCCCCGGACTTAACTAAAGGCCAACTGCTGTACTGTAAGACTGTAATTCTTGTCATTTCCGTCCCCCCCCCCCAGGACTTAACTAAAGGCCAACTGCTGTACTGTAAGATTGTAATTCTTGTCATTTCTCTCCACTAAGGATCGCGGCCACTAAAGGCCAACTGCTGTACTGTAAGACTGTAATTCTTGTCATTCCTCTACCCTCAAGATCTCGGCCACTTATAGGCCGACTGCTGTACTGTAAGACTGTATTTCTTGTCATTTCTGTCCACTCAGGATCTCGGCCACTAAAGGCCAACTGCTGTACTGTAAGACTGTATTTCTTGTCATTTCTCTCCCCCCCCCCCAGGACTTAACTAAAGACCAACTGCTGTACCGTAAGACTGTATTTCTTGTCATTTCTCTCCCCCCCAGGACTTAACTAAAGACCAACTGCTGTACCGTAAGACTGTATTTCTTGTCATTTCTCTCCCCCCCCCCCCCAGGACTTAACTAAAGACCAACTGCTGTACTGTAAGACTGTATTTCTTGTCATCCGACTGCTGTACCGTAAGACTGTAATTCTTGTCATTCCTCTCCCCCCAGGATCTCGGCCACTTAAAGGCCAACTGCTGTACTGTAAGACTGTAATTCTTGTCATTTCTGCCCCCCCCCCCCAGGACTTAACTAGAGGCCAACTGGTGTACCGTAAGACTGTAATTCTTGTCATTCCTCTCCCCCCCCCAGGATCTCGGGCACCTGCAGGTGGAGCTGATGCTGGACTCCAAGCTCTGCAGGCTGTCTGTGGGCGTGAACCAAGCCAGAGGTCTACCTAGCCAACACCTGACAGGGGCGCCAGGTGAGTAGAACAAGGTCACTGACCTGGGGCACCAGGTGAGTAGAACAAGGTCACTGACCTGGGGCACCTGGTGAGTAGAACAAGGTCACTGACCTGGGGCACCTGGTGAGTAGAACAAGGTCACTGACCTGGGGCACCAGGTGAGTAGAACAAGGTCACTGACCTGGGGCACCAGGTGAGTAGAACAAGGTCACTGACTCGGGGCACCAGGTGAGTAGAACAAGGTCACTGACCTGGGGCACCAGGTGAGTAGAACAAGGTCACTGACCTGGGGCACCAGGTGAGTAGAACAAGGTCACTGACCGATGACACCTGGTGAATAAAGCACAGGTAAATGAGTTCGCAAGGTAAGTAGAATACAGGTCACTGACCTAAGACCCCAGGTGAGTAGAGTTTAGGTCACTTAACTAGGTCACAAGGTGAATAGAACAAGGCCACTCACCTAGGTCAGTTTTTGTGGAACTGGGAATTTCCATGGAAAGTCAGGCAATTTAAAGTCACTCATATCATGTGGAAGTCTCACTTTAAGGTCATACATTTACGGTAAAATAGTCGCATTCGAGTCAATCATTTCCGGTGGAAGTCTGACTCTTTAAAAATCTCGAGATGACTAAATTTACCATTGCTAGCGTCCTACACGGCTAAATGGGGCTAGGGACGATGGTGGATTGATTTGTCCACTAGATGGCTAGCCAGCATGGAATCGCCCTACTGGATCAATTGTACTCTACGGGTGAATGTAAAACGGAGACTGGATTAGAGTGATGTTTTCAACAACAAAGCAACGCATTAAAACTTAGCTTCATTTCATGTTTCGTTAAAATTAAAACTAAACAACTTCTAATATATTTTAAAAAAAAATTCCTGGCGAACTCTTTTGAAGATGAAAATACAAAACGTTTTCTGGCAAGAAAATAATTTTAAAATCCTATCTTTTGAATTATTCCAAAAGCTCTTTGTTTCTGGAAAAAAAGATTTTGTCCCATGTTGTCGAGAGTTTAACACCAGCCCCAATCGATCGAAAAGCTCTAGAAGTCGTGCAGCCATTAAATTTTTTCCCCTCCTGCACTTAATAGCTTTAATTTTTTTTTTTCGTGTGCATTAAAAGAAAACGCCCTCTTATGCTTTAAGCAATAAAAAAATTCTGTATTACTTCCCATTTTGTATTTTTAATTCTTTACTTTGTCCCCTTTGTCTAGCTTCCTTCCTGCGTTTTTTCGCTTCTTTCTGCTAA